CTTGTATATACTCATATGTACAAAAAACCCCAAACATGTAATACATTGTGGTGATCCTTCAGAATAAACATGGTTGATGTGTTCGAGAAAACAGCTCAACCAAACATGGACGCGAGGGGGGTTCTCGTGCTCAGTGCGGAGGTATCGCGGCTTTGCGATCCACAGAGTTGGGATGGCGGCGGCTGCGCTTTGGGTGGGATATTGCCGTTCTGGGACAACTATTATAATCACGTTTTTATCCAGCACGAAATCAGAATGACAGTTGTCTCAAAAGGAAATATCGCACAAAAACGCATTCTACGCCATGTTCAAATGAAGTACGCGACCGTGCACGCCACATTTTCCGGATATGGAGTGTATTTATTTATGCCTGACTGCCGTCCATCTGCCTAGCGCCGACAATTGGATTACATCACAGTTTTTACAGCGACTACAAACCCTTATTGAAATATACACGATCACCTTTGAAGTCTTCTAACTGTTCGTAGGCTTCTGGTTCAAATTTCCTCAACGTTGACACTTTGATGGAGCTGAAAATGGAATCTGATTAAATTTAGATTTAATATTTTTAGACTTTTTGAGAATTCGATTTTTTATAATTTAATCTTTGCACGTATTTTGCTAACATATTCAGTACTACAGCAGATTACTCAAGTTTCTCTGGGGCCAGACCTACAAGTCATCATAATATTGTATTAGTGCTGACAACATTTTTGAAGACTCACATGAACGAAAACACATTCATTTTAGGAAACTTGTTGTTAATTTTCGAGTGAAGTAACTATGATTACATCTAACGCGAGAGACGAGGATACGAATCTTGAATCTCCGGCACTGTTTACCTCTTACCTCCGAATCAGGCAGTTTCCATCAAAAGCAGATTCGGCCAAAGATTTGCCTACAGAGGGACTTCGATCTCTTGAACACGAATATCTTGCTTGGCACGAAAATGTCTAGGGCCCACGTCGCAGGTAGCGGGCCCAAAATACCTCAAACCATCACATTCGCTGACAACCGGTCCCCAGGGCTGGTTTGACCGCGTGAACTGGATTATTTCTTTCGCTTGGCACGAAACCGTCTGGTGCCCGCGTTATAAAAAGTGACATTATGTGCCTGTTTTGACCCCGGCGCGTGTAAAGCGGATTCTAGGCCAGCGGTGTGTTAGGGCAATTAGAGAAACACAGCGAGACAAGACGGCACCCTTTCCGACTGCCCGCGAGAATGATCCTTGGAATCGCACGGGTTCAGCCCTAGCAGGAAAAGAATCCACTGTCCCAGGAGAAAGACTCTACGAGCAGTCGCAGGTAACGTTCACCCGTTTTTAATATTTAACCCGAGGTGCCATATGCGCGTTCGTGAGGTCGAACTACCCTGGGCGGGGGAAGGGGGCAATTTTGGCCTAGTGTGGTGACTAGAGGCATTTTGGCGGCAGTTTCGTTCCAAGTGAATGTGGTATCCGGTTCAGAGAGTCACACTACACGTAAAACGAAATTTCGGCGAACTTCATGGTACACACCCTTATATTATTAATGTAATACACCGTCGGACAGAATTAACTGACACATTGTCGTCAACGCGTGAAAGAGTAGAAGAGTAAAATAAAGTTGATGCGAAAAAGAAACATGGAACAAGCTTTGGAATGGCTTTTTCAACAGTTAACTTTAATCTCCCTAAACCAACAATGATAGGAGCAGATGCCATGAAGGTGAGGCAATAACATTTACAAATTAAAAGTTCAGTTCATCTCTCAGGGATTATTTATTTGTTACCGGAGTCGACCGGGAGGATTAAAGTAGTGACGAAGCCAACCCCGCAAGTCGTTGCCGAGGCTATATGGCACAACTACAGTAATTTATATTTTAACCTTTTTCGCTTCGATTATACAGGTGGTTTCCTTTCTCGATTCAATAAAGTTTCGCCAAGTTTTGTTGGCCTTTACAGTGTTGGAATATTTTCCAGCGTATACTGAGGCGCATGGCACAGTAGCCTGGGTCGCGCCTTATCGAACGAGAAGTCATACTTGTTTGGGTGTTCCCTTCCTTCTACTTGTTTTTATTACGCTTCACAGTCTGACGCTTTTCCCAGACCCTGAAAAATCTTGAAAATAACTAATTCTACGTTGGCTTGCTCCGTCGTAAAAAATCTTCATCCTTCTCTCTCGACAGCCACTTTAGCATGTTCGAGGCGGCGTGTAGTCCCGAAAGTAGACGCGTATCTTCGCTTGCTTTTTTTTGATTCTTTTTTTACCAACGATTATATGCAAGTAATTTCCAGACGAGAAAGTTGCTTTGCTCATATTATAATAGAATAGGTCCTCAACTGCAGTAGTGAGTCACCTTTTCCACTCAGAAGTGTACGGGAAAGAAGCTGGACGGTAGTGGTACTTGGACGCCGCCTCCCTACCCCGCTCGCCCACGCTGTCGCACGACCAGTCACACGCACAACCATGGCCAAGCGCGCCACTTGTCTGCGCCCTATCACTTCTGGTTGTTCTCCACCGGTTGATGCGCGTTTCGGTTTGTATCGATGCAAGTGTTGCACACTGACGTATCGCGGGCGGAGTATGGAGAAAGCACCCGAGTATCACAACCTTCTAGGCTGTTCCCGTCCACTTTTGAGCAAAGAAATGGCATGCTACTGGAGATGCAGACCCATCCACTTTGCACACGGCAAGGCTCTGGCGGTGGACAGTCTTTCTAACTAGGCCAAGATAAATTGATAGTCGATCCCGCACGATTTTCCCTCATTCACTACTTAAAGGCACGTTCCGCGATAAACTAAGGCTAGGTTCTCATAACCGTGCACGATGGTCAAGCAGGCAACGTCAGAGGCTATGCTGCTTTTAAAAGTTGAAAAACAGCAAGCAAAACGCAGGGCGCTCAGGTTTTAGGCCCATTTGCGCCCGATAGGCCCATGCCGGCCTCCAGTGACCGTGTCGTTGTGAGACTGCCATTGCGCTCTCTCGCCCGTCGTTTTCTGGCCTCTCTCGTCTCTTATCAGTGTATCGCCGCCTTTCGCAATTCACAATTGATCTTGACCACCTTACGCTCGTCCGGTGATCATGATCAATTGCAATAAAGAGGGTCTTATTCCGGGCGCTTTTTCGTGCTTCCTTCTTCTTCAATAAGTCAACAAACACAGGGCAATTCTATTTTTGAACTGTATTACCTATGAACTGTGGTCGCGGGAATTGCCTTTAACACCTCAAAACCTTGATAGGAAACTCCTAAAAAAAATTGCGAGAAGGAAAAAATCTAGTCTCCATTAATTTAACCACTCACTGGTATACAGGAATAACTTACCTCAAAAGGAAAAAAAAATAAACCGGGAACGGACAAAATTAGGGATAAATTAAGTCTCCATAATTTGAGCCAGCCTTTGGGATAATGGAATAACTTACTTTTGTTGTGGGAACAGAGCACAGCCCACTGGCACCATCGCACCATATCTAAAGCGATTGTTTCTAGTTTTGATATACATTCAAGAACACAAAAGAATTACATTATAAAAGTGAGAAGGAGTTGGGTTGGAATATTCAGCCGACGAATGTGCCTCTTGAACCAAGCTATTTTCTCAAGACGTTCCATGATAAACGGTGTGGCAACTGAAAAATAACTCGTTAGGGTAACTATAGGGGAATAACTTCACTGCTATCGGAAAGACGGTCGATATACGCTAGGAATTTGGCATTTCTCCCCCCGCCCCCCTCCTCCATAAAAGGTTCTTTCAGTACTCATGAAATTTTCGTGTTTCATCTCCTTGAAATAAAGGCTCAGGCAATATCGCTTTCCCGAAATTCATCTCGAACGCATAGCGTGTTGAGAACTACTTTAAAAGTGGCTATTCTCGGTCGTAATGATTGTAGTCGCATCGGTTATGCAGTGGGAGGGCAGATACTGCTATGCTTTGTAACTCGAAGATGCGGTAGGCGGGAACACGTACTTCCCTTGAACAAACAAGGCGGTGATCGTCTATGGTGGGAATTTCATTTTGGACACTTATAATCATACCTTTGTAGAATACAGGAAAAGATGATAGCTCTTAAACTGTCACTGGAGCATTCTACAGATAGCCCATCCTAAGCCCTATTCAAATGGAGTACGCAGCCACAGTTACTGGGTTTCAAGTATATGGAGAGAAAGCAATCTCTCTTATGGGTGCTGGTAGATAGACATAGTAACCCTCAAATAATTTCTTGTTCGAGCTATCCCTATTACCGCCCAAAATGGTGCTGAATTCGATGAAACTCACTCATACAAGGGGCGACGAGCACATTCCTTGAAACTACCACGAGAGAAATTGCTTTTGCTGCAGCCAGTTTGGATTTACCGACCGTGGTGCCACTCTCATCCGTTACACTCATACCATTTTTCAATTCACTGAAATATAGCATCGTATATTGATCGTCCACTTTGAGGGCGACAAAGTAATCTATAGTTGGTCCACAGGAACAAATACGGACTATGGAGAGTAGAAACTCAGAGAAATCTAAAAAATAACAGTCTTTTCAACTCGTGAATGAATGAAATGGAAGAGTGCTACAGAACACTTTACAAAGCCATGAATTATGCGGGAAAACATTTGTATCTGTCTTGTGCTCTAATGCCTTCCATGTGAGACGGTACTGAGCAGCGCCGCTCGAGGTAAACTCATGACCCTACATTGGTGACTCTGGAACGTTTTTATTACGTTATGTTAAGCATAAAAGCGGCAATGCGATCTGTTTTCGAGGTTGGCTTATACATGCCGAAGTCGCAGACAAGATCCTCGTTCACCTTCATCGTTGCTGCGAATTTACGACTTGAGTGAGGGGCAGAGGATAGGGTCACCATTTTTTTGGAGGCGAAGAATTCGTAAGCGTCCTGCACCACCTGACGAGCCTGACTAGATGTGACTAGCTATGATTGGGAGAAGTATTAACTGTATTCCAAGGCACCCTCCACTCCAACATTGATCGCTCCACATCTAAGGCTGCGTTTATACTTTGCGGCAGCGTAGCGTAGCGTAGCGCAGCGTAGCGTAGCGCTTCCAGCGTACGCCAGCGGCAGTGCCGAAGAGAGGATGCATATCGATCTAGCTTCACCAGCGTCACCAGCGGCACGCTAGCGTACGCCAGCGTTTCTCCAGCGTTTCACCAGCGTTTTGCTAGCGTTTGCAGCGGCAGGGGAGTAGAGACTATGGGAGAGCTGGAGGGTACAAAACACATCGATTGCGCGTCTCTCACTCGCCCTTAGTCTCTACAATGCACATCGCTTCTGCGTCTCCGACGGCCACATAGTCTCTACAATGCACATCGCTTCTGCGTCTCCGACGGCCACATAGTCTCTACAATGCACATCGCTTCTGCGTCTCCGACGGCCACATGGTCTCTACAATACACGTCGATTCCGCGTCTCTCACGGCCACATAGTCTCTACTCCCTGCCGCTGCAAGCGCTAGCAAAACGCTGGTGCCGCTGGAGAAACGCTCGAGAAACGCTGGGTGAAGCTAGTCGATAGCTTCAGTGTTCATTTGGTTGAGCACAGAGATTAGGCATAGAACCTTCAAACAGATTGATTTAGATGGTTCGGAGTGAAAACATCGCTCCAGCTAGAGGGAAAGCTTCTGTGAATGAAACCTTCCACGAAGTGAATCGATTCCTCGAAAGCGTCAGCTACCAGAGACCAAAGATCTTACCGTAACCAAATGGGAAGATGGAAGGGTTATGCTTGAAAAATCACTTCACAAGGATGAGGGCATTCGCTTCGCCATCTTACGATCTGTTCTATTTGAGAAGACTCATTGAGAATTTCTCAGTGGCATTAAGGCACTATGAGTCCGACAACTGAATGATGAGTTAACCTCGGGCAGCACTGCTCAGTACTTTTCACATGTAAAACGAATTAGAGCACAAATTAAATGCAAATGTTTTTTCACGCAATAGTTCATGGTTTTGTAAAGGTTCTGTATCATTCTTCGGTTTTATTCTTCCACGAGTAAAAAAAAAAACGACCAAGAAACTCTGTTTTGCTTGGGGAAATCTTCTAATTCGCAGCACCAGGGCCAGAACGATTTCTGGTCAAACAGGTCAAGGCTAGCTTCGTCGAACGCATTCATTCTACGAATTCTTCCCGTTCACACTTCAGACATTCAAAGCAGTAGTAGCTGAGAAAAGGCGGAAGCTCAAATTCCATATTGGAACACCTGGGCAAATGCTGACCCAGTTGAACAATGATCTGTTCTAGCTCCCTCTCAGAAAAAGATTCAGTTTCTATAACTTTCTGATTATGTGAATGCCAAAGACCATAAGATTGCTAGAACCTCTTCAGCAATTGTTGTTTTCAGTAAGTCGAAACTGTGACATTACAGATGAATTTAATCTCAAATAGACTGCTTGATAGGACCACGGCTTGTGTGGGTCTGTGGATCACACAGCAATATGTTCAGTATGTAGGAATTACAATGCTCGAGTCGACAGTCGAATTGCACGTCCAAAAATTACCGCGTCCCCTCCACACGATGCGTCGCGCCCAACGTGTGCGGCAACTTGTGGTTATCCTGCTCGTCTGCTGGTCATGCCTTTTGATTGGCAATAATAACCCGAACCTCTTACACCTCCTCTTCATCAGTGGGTGTAACTTCTAAGAACGGACCTCCTGCGACTGCCATCAGATGTGCTCCTGCCTTGTTTATTACCCCTAGGCTTTGTTGTGCTATGGCCCTTTTTGTCACAGCTAAAGTTCAATTACCCGAGTTTGAAGTCTTGTTCGAGAAAGCCCCGAGTGGCACTGGCATTTTGATCTTTGCTCGCAAAACGACATAATCGCATTGACTTCAACGCCCACCTTATTTTGTTTGTACAACCTTCTAGCCGGGCATTCCTGACGGACTGCTGATCCATAATTGTTCCTGTGATACCGCTATACCCTCTATTGTGGACTCATTTGACAGTATAAAACGGGCCAATAGATTACTTTTGTCGCATCAGAGGTATATTGATGGCGTTTGCAACGGCAACTGCCGCAAGCGGAACCAATTTCTGTGCAAGAGTGCTAACTTCACGCTTCATGAAATACTGCTTCAGTCCAATAGCCACTGCCAACGCTCCACTAACAGCAGTCGTATAAGCCACCAGAAGATCCTGAATTGCAGATTCACCATCAAAGCCCGTGCAGGCGCAGTTTGACAACGGGGGAGGGGCATTTTGCACTTTCGCTACTTCCCGACGTGTCGACCTATCTAGGCAGCCTCTTCTCGAGTTGACAGGTTTTACCATGATGGCTAGATGAGCTTGCTCCGGCTTCACAAGTGTCCACAGGTTTTGTCAGAGTGAGACTTGTAAACCGGAACAGGGAAGCAACGATAGTACAAAATGCCCCCCCCCCCGTCGTCAAAATGCGCCCACCCATGCATACCATTTGCAAGAAAAATAGCTCTGTTACACATACAAATTACTATGTCTGTCCGCAACTTCGTCGTTATCTGAAGAATCATTTGGAGAAGTGTCAGGTCAAACATGGGATAGTTGGAGCATAGGGAAAGAATCCGGAGCGCATATGAGCTAAGCCTAGCTCACCGCGGGAAGTGAGGCGTGCCCCGAAGAGGGCCGAAGACAAAATTCTTGATTCAACCCCAGTAATCCAAAGACAAACTTCGTGATTGTGTATGGTGGGTAGTGGCGTTCAGTTACGGGCCTAAAGTCGCTGAGTGACTCTCCAGGGAAGAAAAAGGCAAAAAAAGTCATGGAGAAAATCAAAGTAAGGACATGAAGGCCTTCCTGGACGATGTTCTCTGTAACCCTCCTTTGAAGGCAGACCTCGCCATTCTTGAAAAGAAGGCTCGGAAACAGTTGTTGCTGTATGGTTCAGTTCGAATTAGACCATGACTATGTGCCTTCCGAAGTCATGTGAGGTGTGCGTTAACACGTTGACGACATTATGCGCCACAGGTGGTTCATGCGAGCGGACACGTGGGACAGTATGAGCCGTCGGTGCCTCATAACCCTCTGCAGCACTTTTCTAGTTAGTGTCGTTAGTTTCTATCGACTTTTTTTGCCTTCTAGTAGCTTGTGGGAGATGAGCGTTCACCAGGGATGGGCAAGAGAATGTTGCTGTCTTCGTGAGATCTTTAAATTCAAATTTTTTTTCCAACTAGCTATCCTAGAAACCGCCAGAATAATTTTCTTGGAAGCAGCCTCGATAAGGGATAATTCTGTGCACGAATCCCAAAGGTGAACGCCAAAAGGCGCGATTCTGGCGCTAGCAGCTTGCAAATTCGATAATAACTTATACATTGGCAATTTGAAATATTACAACTACGTCATTCCTTTTCAGTGCTGGCGTCAGATGACGCCTAGACACCAGTTTCGCGCTGGTAGTTGTTTTGATAGTGGATTGGATATAAATTTTTTATACATGTGTTATTTGATGTCCTTACTCCTTAACTCCTTTTTAACGTTGGTGCCATCTGGCGCCAGCAGGCCAACCTGACACGCAAGTTTTTTTTTGCGAAAAACGATGAGAACGTGCGCACTGACTCCCTAACAAGAAGTTAACGTTCATTTTCGGCCCAAGAGCTAACGTTATACAGTCTGCTCATCTGCGATCTGCTAGCCGAGCGTGAGTAGATGAATCACTGTCCCCGCCCCTGGGCTCAGTCTTAGCCGAATACTAATGGCGCCCATACCAGAGCACATAAACAGAGCAGTGAGTAATCTCGGCACTTTCTTTTTGCTACGGGCAAACAATTGTGTGAATGGGCGAACCCCCTCATAGAAGCCGGGCCATATGGTAGGTCAAAAAAGTGAATAATAATACAAAAATCTTAATTATGCCAAAAAAACGTAAAAATCCCCCTGATCTGGGCGCGCTGCGTGTGCTAGCGTATCATTATTTAAGAACTTGTCTGTTATAACATTTGAAATTCACAGGAAACCTTTTCAAAGTGAGCCTAATCGTCTGTGAGCCGGTGTAGGCGTGCATGATTCATTTTGTGGGTGTGAAAGCAAAAAAGCAAAAAGACCGAAGCAGAAATTATGTATGAGATCTGAAAATCATAGAACGCGATAAAAAGTGTGTGGTGTGTATGTGTGTGTAGTGTGTACGTGTGTGTGTGGTGTCGTGTGTGTGTGTGGTGTAGTGTGTGTGTGTGGTGTGTGTGTGTCGTGTGTGTGTAGTCCTTGGGGGGAGGGCTTAAGATAGTGTAGTGGATGGTAGAAATTGCACTCCGTGCAACATTGCTTAATCTTTTTGCTAAATTTGACGGAGCGGCAAAAAAGTTGTCTACGTTCGCTATGAGCCACCGATGGCTCACAGTGAACGCAAGCGAAAAAAAAATACCAAGGTCCAACGCGGCGCTTCACCAGCAAATGCGATTGTCGTCAACGTATTAACGAACCCAACCAAGCTGCAATGTTCTTACACCTTATAACCTTTAGATTCTCACCTGAGTAGTCATAGCACTTTTAGCATTTCGATTAGTATAGTTAACTAGAGCATTGAAAGACTGATTGGCCCATTGCCAAAATATCACAGCTGGCGTAGATTTGTACCTACAATTCACATTATACAGAAAATCCATAGACATGATAGGAATCAACCACGTCGCACGTAGGAGATTCCCCAGCGTACGGTGGTCTTATTTGATCTCGGAAAACGTTTTTGATAGAGGTTTTTTTTCTTCATGAACACTATGAGGGGTTGGGGACGTAATTGCGGTACGTTTTTCCCGTTTATTTGCTGTGCACTCTCCCCTCCGTATCAGTTTCCTGGAGTCCAAACTCCCCCAAAATCACCGCAGAGTGGCAGCGAGGAGATAACGCACGCGTCATTGAAAAAAAAACCCGAAAAAGTCAACAACCGAAACATTTTCACTGAGGCAAATACGGCTCCCTCTTCTTGCAGGATCCCCGAGGTACGCGTGCCCTGATCCTAATAAATGAGTATCGTTACAATGCCCTGCTCAGACACGAGACAAGAGCACAAATGGTTCGATTGATGGAGACAAAAGAGAAAAACTTACCAAATCATCATAGCACCACACAGCATTGTTCCACCCCATACATTGAAGCACATTCGCCCGGCGAAGTTTTGAAGTTCACCTGTGTCTGGATGGAAAGCGGACTGAAATAGTCGTTGAGCACGATGCAGTTCTGGGAGCGTAGCCGGAAGCTCCCCACCTGATCTAAAAGAGACATTTGGCATGACTGGTATGACCTCATGTTTTATGGGGGACTGAAACATTTTAGATTGGAATGTCCACTTTCATGTGAGCTGATGCAGCAATGGAACGCTATTGGAGCGCAGGTAACCAGGGAAGTCCGCCAACTCACCATGGAACTTCGAATGGAGACCTGGGTAGATCGATAGAGTCTATAAGGTTATTCACAGATAGTGATAGCAAAACTGCAACGCGCATTTCACAAGCAACTTATGAGCAGGTAGAGTTTGTAATGGTGCAGTACGAGGACATTGAAGACGTAGCGGAAGCGCACGCACTTCCCACAATTTGCGCTTTTTTGGAACAATAATTATTCCCTCCCTCCGTAGGGTTTGTCACGGTAGGACCACGCGGCGTCGCGCGCTACAAACTGCGAATACGGTGTGCTCGCAATCGAGCGCGCACTCGCGACGGCTGTGTCACAGTGGCAGTGACATTACGCTGTGAACTTTTCAACAGGGTTTCCTTCGTACGTAAACCATACGAGGAGGGTTACAACGGGTGTGGCCCCTGACACTGGGGTGCCCAGAAAGCATTGCAATGCTCAAATGATCCATGATTAGCTAACAAGTCGAATTAGCAAGTGAGTGAAATCTGTGCAAGTTTCCCCGCAATACAATTACTACGTGACCCCTCTCACCATACACACGAAGCGAAATCTAACGGTGACGACAACTTAGGTCCTAGTAGGATGGATGAGCATGACTTAAAGTTGAAGCGAACACCATCTAATTCGCTAGAGCCGTGACATAGTAAACCATCGCAAGCGTACGCTCTATAGCAAGCACACAGTATTTCCAGCTTGCCACGCGCGGTGCAGCGTGATCCTAGAGCCTGTCTCCCCAGGGCTGCCTTCTAACCAATTGTGGCGAGGGCAGGACGGCATCATTGGTGGGAAAGGGAGCCTGGCTCTCCCTCCAATCCCGCTCTACTATTCGTAGGTATCATGACTATATCAATAAAAAAAATCGTGATAACTGGGTAAGCATCAGTACCTGCACTTGTCCATTAGCCTCTTCGCTGCCATCAACTGCGATTCCGGTGTAAATGCGATAAAAGGGTCTGTGATGCCTGCAAAATGTCGCAGTCTGCCGATGAACCTTGACTGATCAAAACGAGGCCGATCCGGATTGAAGTCCATTGGGCTACAACGGTCTTTTCCCTGTAATTGACAACAAGATGTAGGAAAAATGAGCATAGTCACGATCATCAGGTTATCAGACTAATGTTAAGGCTGAAATGAGAAATACTACATTTGTTGACCAGAAGTGAGTAAAAGTACATGACTCAAGTATTCAGTAACGACATTCAAGGCAGCTTCCGCTGGTATTCATACAACTTAACCTTTTTTCGATGAAACCAAGTGCCACCAAGTGGTTATGGAACCGAGGAGTTCTTTTACATTTTGGCAAATTCCTAAGCTGCTCCTGAAGTTTTTCTGACATCTTGATCAGAGCTGGGGTTTCTCGGTGGCTCTTTGTCAAATATCAACTTTCTCAACACGCTAGGGCATTATCTGTGCAACAAAACTTGCCAAGTACCTCCATTTAAAGACACATGGTACGCTCAAACACATTGAGGGTATATGAGACTATCACCCCCAGCTGTCACCTAAAGCAATACCTGACGAAGATTTGAAGGCATTTGTTGAGGCCCATCCCAAACAGTCCGAGAGATTGCAGAAAAGCTAGGCGTTGGCAAATCCACTGTTGCGGATGGTCTGAAAAGCATTGGGAAGGTGAAAAAACTCGACAAGTGGGTGCCCCACAATTTGAGTGACCGGCAGGAATTGGCACATCTCGAGGTTTCTTCTTCACTGCTTTTGCGCAATAGAAACGACCCGTTTTTGGACCGAATTGTCACCTGTGATGAAAGCGGATCATCTAGATAACAGAAGACGTTTCGGACAGTGGTTGGATGCCGACGAACCATCGAGGCAATTTCCAAAGCCGAATCTCCACCGAAAAAAGTTATGGTCACGTGTGGGTGGTCATCAGCTGTGTAATCTACTATACTTTTTGTCACCAGCCAAACCATCACAGCAGAGTCCTACTGAGAAGAAATCGACGAAATTCACGAAAATTGCGTCAGCTGGCAGCAGCACTCGTCAACAGAAAGGGTCCGATTCCTTTGCATGACAACGCCGCCCACACGTTTCAAAATCACCAATCATAAACTGAGACCAAGTTGGGGGTTGAAGTCCTGGCATCATGCCATATTCTCCAGGCCTTTCACAAACCGACTATCACCTTTTCAAAGATTTCAGAACTTCTTTGCTAGGAAATACTTCAACAATTAGAAGGTTTTTTTCTTTGATGGGATTTGTCGACTGGTGTCACACTGGAAAAAAGTGTGCTGATTCGACGGTGCTTGTTTCGATTGTATCCGATTGAGTATCCAGAAGTTATTGAACTTTTAAAGTGAAACACTCAAAACGCTGAGAACTTTCCGGACAACCTAATATTAGGTGTCCGGAAAGTTCTGTCACTTTTTTTGAAGTTGGGCTTTCTTTTTATAGAGAGGCGTGAGATCATAATTGTACAGCAATGTTACTGCGGGGTCCTTGCCTGTTTTTCGGCACCTCATGGATGCCATCGCTTCACAATGCAGGGAGGTGCGATACAAAGTTGGACATCATCTCAGTCTGGGCTTGAGCTCAGACTTTCCGAGGTTTCCTCGTAATTTCTCGTCCATTAATGATCGATTACGGGAGGCAACTCGCAGTAAGAAGGAGCAATGTCGGTGCTACACCGCTGCAAGGGGAGAGCCATCTAGCTCCATTGCATGAGGAACGGCTAGAAGTTTTTTGGAAGTGTGCTGCACTATCAGAAGCATTTCGGGGGGTCGCTGGCAATGGTAGCGGATAGGATCCTTGTCCATATTGCAGGAAAGGGGAAGCAGGGATCAAGAGAGTGATACCAATAGAAAGGTCACTCTTTGATGTATGGGTGCTCACATTAGCGTTTACCCCTCTTCAGGTAATTACAAGTATTTTAAGTTCAAAAAAGTGACAGAACTTTCCCGCCAACCTAATATTAGGGAAAATTCTGGTAGGGTGGACCTTGCAAGTGTTGAGCCGCTAAGGAACTGGGCCGTGAAACCTTCCATCGAAAAAATTAATTTGAGCAGAGCGTGCGTGCACTCACTCGAAAAACCTTACCAGTTCCGTTCAGAAAGGTACGCATCGCAAGCAGTGGAATTGCGTCCAGCCATTCAGGACAGAGTGGTTTGCCTACCTCGCTTCCATATCTGCTGTGTCCCTTTCTGAACGGAACTGGTTAGGTTTTTCGAGTGAGTGCACGCACCCTCTGCTCCAATTAATTTTTTCGATGGAGCTTCACGGCCCAGCCCCTTAGTGGCTCAACACTTGCAAGGTCCACCCTACCAGAATTTTCCCTAATATTAGGTTGTCCGGAAAGTTCTCAAGCGTTTTGAGTGTTTCACTTTAAAAGATCATAACTTTCTTGATACTCATCGGATACAATCGAAACAAGCACCGTCGAATCAGCACACTTTTTTCCAGTGTGACACCAGTCGACAAATCCCATCAAAGAAAAAAATCTCCTAATTGTTGAAGTATTTTCCAGCAAAGAAGTTCTGAAATGAATATGGCAGGTGATGCAGGACTTCAACCCCCAACTTGTTCAGTTTATGGATGGTGATTTGTGAAACGTGTGGGCGGGCGTTGTCATGCAAAAGAATCGGACCCTTTCTGTTGACGAGTGCTGGCTGCAGTTGACGCAATTTTCGATAAATTTCGTCGATTTCTTCTCAGTAGGATTCTGCTGTGATGGTTTGGCCTGGTAACAGAAAGTTATAGTAGTTCACACCAGCCGATGACTACCACACTGTGACCATAACCTTTTTGTCGTGAGGATTCGGCTTTGAAAATTGCCTCGGTGGTTCGTTGGCATCCAGTCACTGTCCGGAACGTCTCCCGTTATCATACATGATCCACTCTACATCACAGGTGACAATTCGGTCCAAAAACGGGTCCTTTCTATTGCGCAAAAGCAGTGAAGAAGAAACCTCGAGATGTGCCAATTCCTGCCGGTCACTCAAATTGTGGGGCACCCACTTGTCGAGTTTTTTCACCTTCCCAATGCTTTTCAAACCATTCGCAACAGTGGATTTGCCAACGCCTAGCTTTTCTGCAATCTCTCGAACTGTTTGGGATGGGTCACCCTCAACAAATGCCTTCAAATCTTCGTCAGGTATTGCTTTAGGTCGACCGCTACAAGGTTCATCCTCAAGGCTGAAATCTCCAGAACGAAATTTGTCGAACCATTGCCGCACGGTGTTTTCTCCAACATTAGTGGGCCCCCACACCTGGTTAATTTTTCGAGCTGTCTCGAGTGCGGATTGACCCAACATGTAGTTGAAGAACAATATCGTCCGAAGTTGCTCTTTGGACATGCTTCAAAAACTCTTGGAAAAAGGGGGCCAATCAAGCATTGATAAAACGGCAATTATACCATCAGATAGCGCAAAAAATCCTTTTCAGTATATATTACTGAGACGCAAGGGAGAATGAGTTTTTAATCAGCAGGCGGGGGGGGGGTGTCGCATGCGACGTCGACCCCGCGACTGATGACATTTTTAGTCGTATGTGGCGGCAACAGACAATGTATTGCCAAATAATATCAACAACGCTGAATTCAAGCCAGAGCCATACAATGTCTATGATGTGGCAGTGTACATTAAAGACGATTCTCGGAATCAGTTATTACGGGTAACGGGTGTTCATTTACAGAGTAGTAACCAATAAGTGAGTCCCAGTTGAGGAAGAGGTTAGAAAAAAATTTGAGAACCCCGACCCTCCCTCTTCCGACAGTGACAGAGCCTCATTACATGTGTCGCCCGACCTTGATGGCAAACGGACAATCTGGTGCCTCTGAGCAACTTCTGGCTCACAAACTGGTTCTTCGCATCTTCCATTACTACCCTCAACTGGTACTACAAATAAAAGTCTGTGCATGAGATTAGGGCTGCTGCAGGCAGCACACGATCAGCTTTTGCACGAATAATTTCACCATTGCTGAATTCAAGCCAGAGCACACCATCAATTGGGGATTTTGGTCGGATCCGTACGACCCCCCCCCGCTTCCACGTCGTGCTTATCACTTTCTTCGAATTTCCTATCTTCCTACCACTTTCTCTGAAAGTTCCCACGAATTTCACTAGGCTTGATTTTGCTGCCCAGCGGGAAGGGGGAGGGGTATATAGGACGCATGAAAAAGGTAAAACTACGAAAGTTCTGCAACCTATCTCAGAGGGTGAAGAAAAATAAGACCCCTTCGCCCTCTAACAATGAGCAAATACGCCCCCCCCCCTTCACAACATCCTGAAACAAGAAAAATCAACTATCAGAACAATTTTTCTCGGACCATATGCGACTCCCCCCACGACCAGGTACGACCCCTTGTTTCTCACTTTCAGGAGGGAATCCAGGGAAAGCAAAACAACTAGCGAGCTCGCTAGATGATCGGCAAACTCTCCGACGAGGGAAGTGGAGGAGTTCGCATACGTCTTCTGAGAGAAATTTGAGGCGTTGGGGAAAGTTTTTCCCGCCTGTACTTTCCGGTTTTTTTTGTTTGAATGCCCTATCCCCTCCCTCCACCCCACTCAGCAGTGAAATTCTGGGGAGAAAGAAGGAAACTTTCCGGTCAATCCCGGAAAACTGGTAGGAACTTGGGGAAATCTAACTAGGGGAGGTCGTCAGGTCGAAGTGGCCGTTTGTAATGAAATGTAGCTCACTGGGCGTGGTTTTGGACGCTGATCTCGAATCTGCCTTTGAAATTTTCAAAGATTCTCTGAAAGGAATTATGATGGCTTGTTAGAATTAAAATGAAGGAAAACGGAGTCGAGCGCGGTTGCCAGCCAGTTCGCATGGATAGCCGGGGAGAACCCTTGCGTTCAGCAGCATGGTGTGGTGGTAATGATCTTGCTTCGCGGCATGCCAGGAAGGGTTCGAGATTCTGGAAGGGAACTTCTTTCGCATTTTGTGGGGAATGCCTCTTTTGAGTCTAGAAAACACTCAAACGCCAAATGGGTGCCATATTCGTGTTCAGGGAGCAAAACTACCCTTGGGGATAGGTTCTAGCAATATGTGAGGTTTTGACTTAACGTTGAAAAGTGCGG